GGCGCAAGTTTAAAAGCCTCTCTGGGAGATGGTGATGGATCGGACATGAACGGCAACCGCTCGTGTGTGACTATCAGTCGGGTCTTGTGTGTGTGTGTTTGTGTGTGTGCGTGTGTGTGTGTGTGTGTGTGTGTGTGTGTGTGTACTTTTGTGTCTGTGGTCTGCGAGTCTAGAGAGCTACTTCATGAAAACGTTTTTGGTGGCGTGTTACTCCGTTACTATTGGCTTGATACGGGTGTGGAAAGGGAGTGGAGGGAGGATCTGGGTTCGATTTGAGTTCTTGGCGAAGGATGTTTTCCATGTTGGAGTGTTTGAATGCGTGAAAATGAAACTGGTCAGAATTAACAAAGCAGATTTTGTTTGCTTTGTCTTTGGCGGGGGGGGGGGGGGGGGTATTCGATCCTCAACCCGCTAGTCTAAGATTTATCAGAAGCGATAGTCAAATTTTTAATGGGAAGTCTGGCTTGTGACGCAATTAATATGTGCTTAAAAAGATGTTTTAGCTGTGCAACTACTTGTGTAGAAGTAAGTAGACTATGAAACGTTTGCCAGTGGCATATTAACTTTTTCCATACCAGAGAGGTTTCCGTGGTTGTTTCAGACCAGACCAGTGTGTTGTAGGTCTATATATTTACGTGACAGCTTGTGGGAGGTGGTGGAGCAGGGGCCAGCTGCAGGCATACGTTATCAAATAAAGTAGACCTGTATCAACGTGAACACGGAGGAAGAAAGGACAAGAAAACAGTTTGTTTCAAATTAACCAAAATACTCTTAAAATTGATCTCCATAATACTATCAAAAAGGGTGTACGTGTTTGCTGGAGAGAGACAATACCATAATACTGGAGACAGCTCTTGGTTTACGCCACAGCACAAGAAATCGGCGAAATATTGTGGATTGGCACGAAAGAGTTAATCTAGAGGACATAAAATTGGGCCTCGCCGACGAGCGGACACATTACTCTCAACCACCAGCCAACAGTATCCGTTTCCGCTTCTGTCACCGCGAGTTCTTTGGATGAGAGACACGTGCGCTTGTTAGTTTTGACCGAAGGTCAGTTAGTCCTGTCAAAACAGCGCGGAATAACAGTGATGGATGGGCGTTTGTGAACCCTCGGACAAAGTGGTCAGCAAGCCAGGACCGACTGGCCGGCCATATTGCTTGTCTTTTTCTCATTACTGGAGCCATCATCATCGCTATCATCTTGAGTATTGGGGATTCGAACTGGTGCGAGGCTTTGTACAACCGTAGCCCGTGCCTCGCCGTGTTTGTCTGAGCTCATCAGCCACTCTGTTTGGTTTCCTCCTTTTCTACCCTGGACATTTACTGTCCCGTGAAACGAAGGAGATGGAAAGGCGGTTTCAGAGAAGCTCGGGGGCGGGAGGGGGAGGGGGGCTATCTACTAAATTTCAATTTAAGATAGTGAGTCTTTGTGTGGAGTTGCTTGCAGTCGCTGATTTGTAAATAGCCATTTTGTTCAATCACAGATATTATTATTGAAACTGGAATAGCCCACTCATGGCTGACCTCATGGTCTTGAAAAAGACACCCATGTTACCTCCTACACACACACACACACACACACACACACACACACACACAACACACAACACACACACACTCACACACAAACACACGCGCACACTCTCTCTCACACACACACTTTAGTCTGAACCAAGAAAGTGGGAAATCTGGAACTTAAATGGTTTTAGTTTTTTTTTAAAATATCGCTTCACCCACTTACCTCGTTCCTTCTGAGATGGGCGTTTAAAAAAGATGTATCTGTTGTTGGTGTCTTACCCGCCTATCGGCAAAATTTAGATCATTCAAGGGGC